GGACAAAATTATTTTGTATTGCTTGCAAACATGTAGTAGACCATAAACGAAAGCCAACAATTGGTAATCATTTAGGAAGTAATTCCCATAAAAAAAATAAATTAGAAGTACAAAATTCTAGCAGAGCTATTCCAAGACAACAAACCATCATAAAAATATATCTGAACGCCAAGGGATTAATATAAATCTAGTAAAAATACTTGCAGAAGCAAACATACCTTTAGAAAAAATTGACTCTTTGGAAATCTTTTTTTAGAGAAAATTTTAAAGAAGGTAAATAATTTTGATAAATAATTTTAAATATTGATAATTTTAAAAAATAATTAACAGGAGGAGGTATTGTGGGCTCAAATCAACTACGTGAGCATTGTTGTTTAGTTTAGAATTTCATGATTCAATTGTCTATTTTGTCTTATTTTTAGATGAAATTTTAGACAAATCTTTGAAATCTGTTGTGGTGAGATTAGTAGTCATATAGAAAATTTCCATAAAAAATACGTTCATTGTGGAATGAATTTATTAATAAAATACATTATAAATTTCATTGATATTAATATTAAAAAAAAGAACTATAACTAAATCCATTGTGACAAAAATCCGTTATGGCAATGTTTGACTATAATAATAATTGGTCAGTTTCAAAATACTAAAGAAAAAATTTTTATTATTATATCATTTTAAAAAAGTTAACCGATAAGATTTATTGCTCATGACTCAAGCCTCAAAACTTACCGGCTAGTTTTTTTAAAATTAAAAATTGGCCGAGCCTTAGGGTTTTAATTTAAAAATCAAGACTAAGTAAATTTTTGATTTCATCAGGAAATTTTGAAAGTGCTAATAAACACATTAATCAACGCCAGGCCATTGCGTAATTATGTTGATAAACCATGCTATTTACACTTTAACTTGATTTATTATATATAAATCAATATGTGTTTAATAACAATGATAAATAATGAATTAATTCGATAATATATTCAGTTGAAATCACCAACTAATTTTATTAAGGGACAACCAGGATCCCGCAAACTTCATAGATAGGTTATTGCTGCGGCTGGGTCAAAATTCATATAAATTGAATTTTGTAATTAAATTTTTTTCTTCATTCAAAAAACAAAGCCAATACTTTATATATAGTAAATCTTTTATATTAAAACAAAATCATTAAAGTATTATAAATTATAAAAATCAGTGAATTATTATAATCAGTTGGTCAGTTAAATCAATTGATTGGTAAAATTTAATTTCATTACAGTAGACAGTTTCAAAATTTTTAATGTTAGTATATATTATGGATCAAATTATGTTCTTTATTGCAAACCTTAGGGTAAAGTTATATATTAAACTTAAATTTGGTCTGGGTCAAATCATATAACAAACAGGAATTTTTGTTACTGACCTACCTATGAAGTTTGTGGGGTCTTGGACAACCAAATTTAAAAAATTGATCTTTATTTTTGTACCGGAAATCATACTGAGAGAATGTAACCGAGGTTGTACAATAAAATATATACCTAGTTCCACTAGTTTCCTAAATAAATCTATATCACTAGTTAATCCTGAACTAGATTTACCGTTAGCCTTGCTAACAATATATATATTACTATTCCTCGACTAGATCAGCTTCGCTGACTATTATATATATTACAGTCCTCGACTAGACTTTCCTGTTATCCTCGCTAACAAAATAAAAAAGAAATATATACAACCATACTAGTTGAGGCGTCCCTACAAGCAATATAGTAAAATCAAAAGAGGTCACTAACTAATTAAAACATGAATCATTAGTAATGGTCACGAAACAATGGCCTTGCCTCTTTAACTAGGTAACAATTCGTATATAAGAGATAATTATTTTATTAATTGTTTCTATCTAATATCTAAAGAGTTATCATTGAGCTAGTTATTTTAACTCAAGCAAATTCTAAGTGTTTAAATATTCTTGAAATTATAAAGGTAAAAATACTTTGGTGACTAATTGTAAAGAGTTTAGACGCTGCATAAGAGTCACGTAACAATTTTTACAAATAAAGAAATATCAATGAACTTTAACTCGTGTAACAAATATTAAAATAATTCCGTGTACAATTCTGGTTTCTATCTCACAATACCATTGTATGAGTACAATAGTCATCAACTCCTTCCTTATTCATATTAATTGTTACGTTTTACAAAGTGTTGGGCGTCTTGAAAAGGTTCTTGTACACTTCAACATTGTAAATGATAATTCTATTAAAAGTCTGTCTTTTATAATGATTCTATTTATGTATCTATTTAATAAAGTAATGATGATAAAGCAAGTAAAATAATAATAGTAAAAATGATAGATTTTTTTAATTTCCTCCTTTTCGTTTTTAAACTTTCTCTATATGATAATAAAGTAATGAATTTGAATTCCTTATTTTGGCCAACTCGCTTAACAAGAGCTGATGCCATGGTATACTTTTTGACTATATAAATTTTTTGTTTAGTGATACGAATTAGTGTGTGGAAAAAGTGATAATTAATAAAAGGAAACGAGAGACGGTTTTACTGTGAGTTTCTTTTTTAAAGATTTAATAACGAAAATAATTACATCTATAATTGGTAGGACTATGGATGTTTTTAATAATTACTGCCAGCTAACCGAGGATCAATTAAAGGAACACCTTCATTGTAAGATCATTGGGAAGAATAGCGCTAATGAATTATTGGATTTTCTTAAGACTAAAAATTACATTTGATAAACTTTTGGAATGAAAGATTACATTCAGCGGTTAAAGATGCAACGATTGTTTTATAATTTTTGTTTTATTGACATTGTTTTCTTTACGTGGCTTTTATCAGCAAGCGAAGATACTATGTTCGCCACGCGAAACGAGTACTTTTGGTGTTTCTCGCCTCTCACCTTTTAATTATAACTGGATAGAAAAACGATGTTAAATTAAAATGGGATATGATGAATTTTACACGTTTATTGATCCACATAATGATAAATCAGGCACTTATGTTGCAAAAATAATTAAAGCAACGTTCACTAACAACGAGCGAACTGAATAAATAAATAATATTTGATTTGTCAACAAAGCTTGATACCAACATTGTTGATCAGCGATTTTGCACTTTTGTAGAAACAGTAGGTAGCATAATGATAATATTATTATTAATACATGCTTAAGAAGATAGTTTGATAAATGCATGCAAGATTAAATAAGTTATTAATGAATGACATATACTGTAGATATATTATTACATCGTGCAATGTCTACTATACATTATACAACATGGATTTTCAATGCTGTTTGTTTACATAGGGTCTGTTGGTTATCACCTTTTCGGTGTTAAAAAACATGAACGTGCTCAATGTTATTTGACGCCTTAAAAATTTCCTGATGATTAATTAATAAATTATCTTTATCACTGTTCAAAAATCCAAGTTTTTCATTAGAGTTTATATTATAAATTAAAAATTCATCATAACGTTCTGTTGGAAACAAAATTTTCATTAATTCAAATGTTCCAAGTTTTGTTTCAATTAAATAACTATAATTGCAACTTTAGTAAGGAATTATCTTGGTGATTCACTCTCCCATATAAACATTTCGGTTATCTCCGACAATGCATTCGATATACATGCAGTACATCTAAAAGGAGTTGCAAAGGCTTTATTGCTTGTTCTAATGATGAAATTCCATGTAAATATAAAGTTTTAGATTTATTACCAATTTTATCTAAAAATTCGAATTAATTATTTAATCACTTGTTTATTTTATTATATTAATATTAAAAATAAACACTTACCTTTGATAATGATTTCAGAAGACTTGTCCTTGAATACAAGTCTGATATGAATCAAATTACCTCTGTGTTGTTTGAGAAATTTTCATTTATAATATTAAATTTGGAATTTTTATATTATCAATGAAAATTTCCAATCTTTCTTCTAACAATCTTGATTGTGAGTTTTTTTTTTTTTTGATTATGTTTTGCTTATGAAAAAACATCACTAGCAAATGTTACTTTGTGATTCTCTGGCCTATAAAAAGGAAATCATAACTGGTAATTTTCTCAACAGTCTTTCATCATGGGAATAAAAGTTAATTTTACAATAATCACAAGTATAACTCCAACTATGTAGCAAAACATTTCTATTGGTATATACCATAAATTAATCATGCATCTCCATTTGCCCTCCCTTTTTATTTAGTCTTCCCATTGCAATTGTCAATGATACAAGGAATGATAGGTACATAGTGATGATAAATTTTCAGGTCGCCAGAAGAAAGTTGATAATAAATGATCATCATCAGGATTTGGCGCCAAACTTTGATAAGAGTATTTTAGAGGATGATGCCATTCAGAGACATATTTAGATGGAATTTTATCTCCTTTACCAACATCCAATATCTTTCGTGTTTCAATTTCTACCGGAAGAAAGAAAGTGATACTTTTTAGATTTGAAAGACCGGATTCCTGGTCGGGTTTCTACACAAATTACATCTTTATTACGAGGGAAGCAAGAAAGATATTTTTTGGCTAATTTTGATTTAGGAAGTTATGTAGTTTTGGTAAACGCAAGCAAAGTTAAATTTACCGGCAATAAATATAATCTCCGCAATATCTTTGTCTATTTCTTTGGGTTATTAAATTATAAAAATATATTAGCCAATCGAGATTCAAATCATGAATTTATTTTTGATTGGCAAAAACCCTGGCATTTGATGATGAACAAGTCAAGTACTTGAGTATTTTGAAACCTGTGAGTTTTGAAATTTGTTATTATTAATTTTTTTCAAAGGTTTTAGTATATCAATATCAATGAAAAATTTATTTTTCGTGCAATAATAAAATAATACAAATTCAATACCTTTAGAAATAAAATAAAAAATAAAATTGTATAATAAATAATTTAATTTATAAATAATAAATAAAAGTAACGCTTATTAAGTCTTTGTGAATGCTTTTTTTTCAAATAAGGAATAACTAATTCTCACGCCTTATTTTATTTTAAAAAATGCGTCTTAATTATCTCTGCGTCTTAACATATTGATCATTTGTTCCACTTCTACATGATGTTGATTAATCTTCATCATATAGTCTTTAATAACTAACATGTGATGAGAAATGGCTGCAACTAAAGGGTCTTCGTTGTAGTTTCTAGAATTGAATGAAGAAACATTTAAATTTAAATCACGATTATTAAAACTAATATCATTATTGATTGATGGTGAAGATAATGTATTTGAGTTGCTATTAACATAAACTATTTGGCGATGTTGTTGCCGTTGCTGTGGTAGTGGTAAAGATTGCGCTGCCAGCATGCTATTGTTGTTGTTATCATTAGTAATGTTTTGAAATGACAATGAATTATCAAATGCAATAACTCCGTGATCAATATTTTGAGCTGGCTGAGTTTGTTGAATTTGTTGTTGAAACGTTGGCTGACTTGGATTATTAATTTGTTGAATTTGTTGTCGCACTTGACCGAAATTTTGAATATGTTGCTGAAGGTTTTGTTGCACGTGATGTTGATGTAGCACGTGATGTTGAAGTTGTCGGTCATAATTTTGTTGTTGGGGTTGTTGACTGATATTTTGAATTGGTTGCTGAAGTTGTTGTTGTTGTTGAAGGAGTTGCTGAACGGAATGTTCAAGCCCTCCATCATCATGATAATTTTGTTTCCGTTGGGGTTGTTGAGGGTTTGGTTGAGATAGTTGTTCATCAAAAGTCTGTTGTTGTTGAGACATTTTGGTTTATATATATATATATGTATTTATGTAGTATTTTTTATTAAAAAAATGAAAAAAAAATGAAAAAATTTGATAGATATCGAACTGCTAGCATTTTTATACGTATATTTTTAATTTGGCACTACACAGCATTATAGAAATTCGTTTTATATAGCATGATAAGCAGCATCATAGAAAATTCGTTTTTATATCACAATTCGACGATCATTTGTGATAAACGTGATAAATTTTATTTATGTTGTACGACATAAGTTTCACAATTAATTACAATACCAATGCACAACAGGAGAGACCGTCCTATATAAGGAATGGATTTTCACAATTGATTTCAATTTTTTTTATACAGTTTAAAATAC